TGCCGTGCGTAGAGGGTCCAAGACTCACTGCAGTACAAGAGTGTACTCAGGACGCAGGCTCTGTAGACCTGGGTCTTTGTATGATCTTTGTATGTATCTTTTTTTGTAACATGGCGACCAAAACTGGATGCTGTATCCGAGGTGTGGTGTTTCCTGATCTTTCTTGAGGTGCATCACGGCAAGAGAAGCCTCAAGATTTTGGCCAGCCCAGGGGTGGCAACCGGCTGAGCCTTCCAATGCGGTCTCCAAATCTGCCGGGTCTTAAAACTGTTTCTTTGAGATTGAGACCTTCTCCCTGCAGGACATATTGCAGTAACAGAAAATAACAGAGCTGGAAGGGACCTTGGAGGTCATCTAGTCCACCTCCTTGATCAAGCAGGAGACCTTACTCCATTTCAGGCTATCCAGTCTCTTAAAAGCCTCCAGTGTTGGAGCATTCACAATTTCTGGAGGCAAGCTGTTCCACTGATTAATTGTCCTCACTATTAGGAAGTTTCTCCTTAGTTCTAGGTTGCTTCTCTCCTTGACTAGTTTCCATCCATTGTTTCTTGTCCTGCCTTCTGGTGCTTCAGGTGCTTTGGAGAATAGCTTGACTCCCTCTTCTTTGGGGCAGCCCCTGAGATATTGGAAGACTGCTATCATGTCTCCCCTAGTCCTTCTCTTCATCAAATTAGACATACCCAGTTCCTGCAACCGTTCTTCATATATTTTAGCCTCCATTTCATTTTCATTTCATTTCATTTATTAAATTTTTATACCGCCCTCTCCCAAAGGACTCGGGGCGGTGAACAGCCAGGATTAAAAAAACATACAATATAAACATTAAAATACTTTAAAACATAATTAAATCTATATTGGCTTCCCCAATTTAAAAACCCTTACCCATAAAATTAACCAATTAAAAATTTTAAGCCAGCCCGGCTTGCTGAAATAAAAAAGTCTTCAGAGCCTGGCGAAAGATCCGGAGGTCCGGGATCAGTCATATCCCTGGGGGTAGGTTGTTCCAGAGGGCAGGTGCCCCCACAGAGAAGGCCCTCCCCCTGGGGGTCGCCAGCCGACATTGCCTGACCGACGGCACCCTGAGGAGGCCCTCTCTGTGAGAGCGTATTGGCCGGTGGGAGGTTATCGGTGGCAGAAGGCGATCTTGTAAGTAACCGGGTCCTAAACCATGGAGCGCTTTGAAGATAATAATAATAATAATAATAATAATAATAATAATAATAATAATATAATAATAATAATAATAATAATAATAATAATAATAATAATTTTATTTCTATACCGCCCTTCTCCCGAAGGACTCAGGGCGGTGTACAGCCAATTTAAAAACACAAGACACAACAATGATTAAAATTTAAAATAATTAATTAGATTTGGCCTGTTTAAAACCCCAAAAATTTAAAATACCCCAATTTAAAATCATTATGTTGATAGCCCGGCCTGGCGGAACAACAGGGTCTTCAATGCTCAAGGAAACACCCGGAGGTCGGAGATCTTACGTATTTCCGGGGGCAGTTCGTTCCACAGGGCAGGGGCTCCCACAGAGAAGGCCCTCCCCCTGGGTGTCGCCAGCCGACATAACTTGGCTGATGGCACCCTGAGGAGACCCTCTCTGTGGGAGCGGACTGGTCGGTGGGAGGCTATTGGTGGCAGAAGACGGTCTCGAAGGTACCCGGGTCCTATGCCATGGAGCGCTTTAAAGGTGGTGACCAACACCTTGAATCGCACCCGGAAGACCACTGGGAGCCAGTGCAGCTCGCGCAGGAGGGGTGTCACGTGTGGCACAATGAGTTGCACCCATAACCATCCGCGCGGCCGCATTCTGGACCAGCTGGAGCCTCCAGGTGCTCTTCAAGGGGAGCCCCATGTAGAGAGCATTACAATAGTCCAGCTGGGAGGTGACAAGGGCATGAGTGACCGTACGTAAGGAGTCCCGGTCCAGAAAGGGCTGCAACTGGCGAATCAGGCGAACCTGATAAAAAGCCCCCTGGCCACGGCCGTCATATGCTCTTCTAAAGACATCCGTGCATCCAGGAGGACACCCAGATTGCGAGCCCTCTCTGTGGGGGGTAGAGATTCACCCCCTATAGACAGCAATGGTGTCAGCTGACTATATCGGAAGCCACAGCCACTCGGTGTTGGAGGGATTGAGTCTGAGCCAGTTTCTCCCCATCCAGACCCGCACGGCCTCCAGGCAGCGAGACATCACATCAAGGGCATCGTTGGGGTGGTCTGGGGTGGAGATGAGAACCAATACCTTGAAGCGCACCTGGAAGACCACCGGGAGCCAATGCAGCTCGCGCAGGAGAGGTGTTACGTGGGAGCGCCATGTCGCCCCCATAAGTACCCGCGCGGCTGCATTCTGCACCAGCTGGAGCCTCTGGGTGCTCCTCAAGGGGAGCCCCATGTAGCCTCCAGACCTCTAATCATCTTTGTTGCTCTTCTTTGCACTTTTTCCAGAGTTTCAACATCTTTTTTACATCGTGGTGACTAAAACTGGATGCAATATTCCCAGCTTAGTCTTACCAAGGTATCATAAAACGGTACTAACACTTCAGGTGATATCTTGATACTATCCTTCCGTTGCTGTGGCTTCGGTCTCAGTCTAAGGTTAAGAAAATCCCCTAGGAATGATCACGCAGTCATCTTTCAATGGAAGTCTGCAGATGGGTTGCAATATCCACATTTTTACGCCTTTGTGAATGCTGGTCATCTCTCCACAGAGAAGACAACTGCAGAGGTCTAAAAATTGGGGGAAGATGCAAAGAAGATGGGCCCAGATTTCCAGTTTAGCCTAGAAAAGGTACCTTAAAAGCTTTTTTTCCCCCTGAAAATGAAGTTTTCTGAACAGCCTTAAGTGGGGAAAAAACTCACAGGGGAGGACACAACCCTGGGGAACCCTCAGTTTATTTATTTATTTATTTTTAAATTTGTATACCGCCCTTCTCCCTGAGGACTCAGGGCGGTGAACAGCCAAGTAAAAACATAAACTACAAACATTAAAATACAATTAAAAAGATATATATAAATTTGTATATATAAAAAGATATATATACAATTAAAAACATTTTAAAAAGTGTTAGGCCAGCCGGCTTGCTGGAAAAAGAAGGTTTTAAGGGTACAGCGGAAGGCACCGAGGTCTTGGATTCTCCTTATCTCTGGAGGAAGCTGATTCCAGAGGGGGGAGCCCCCACAGAGAAGGCCCTCCCCCTGGGGGTCACCAGCCTGCACTGTTTGGCTGATGGCACCCCGAGGAGACCCTCTCTGTGGGAGCGCACGGGTCGATGGGAGGTCGTCGGTAGCAGCAGGCGGTCTCGAAGATAACTAGGCCCTATGCCATGGAGCGCTTTAAGGTGGTAACCAACACCTTGAAGCGCACCCGGAAGACCACTGGGAGCCAGTGCAGCTCGCGCAGGAGCGGTGTTACATGGGAGCGCCATGTCGCCCCCATAATCACATGCGCGGCCGCATTCTGGACCAGCTGGAGCCTCCGGGTGCTCTTCAAGGGGAGCCCCATGTAGAGAGCGTTGCAGTAGTCAAGGCGAGAGGTGACGAGGGCGTGAGTGACTGGGCACAGGGAATCCCGATCAAGAAAGGGCCGCAACTGGCGAATCAGGCGAACCTGATAAAAGGTCCCCCTGGTTACAGCCGTCAGATGTTCCTCCAAGGACAGCTGCGTATCCAGGAGGACTCCCAGATTGCGAGCCCTCTCCGAGGTGGCCAAAGACTCAGCTACTCACCTGGAATGGTATAGAATCCCCTGCTCAAGTTGGGGGTTGGACTAGAAGACCTCTTAAGTCCCTTCCAACTCTTTTAATTCTGTTTTGTTTGTAACATAGCAGGGAAGAGAAGTGGGGCATCACTTCCACTGTTCCCTTTTTGGGGAGGGGGGCGGTCTCCTTCCTGCTTTCCTTTTATCCCACCATTGAGCCCCTCACCCCCAAGCACCAAAAATCGAAAACCAAAGGGACCAAGTACAGATTAGGCGAAACCCGGCTCAAAAACAGGAACTGTGAGCGGGACTTTGGAGTCGATTTTGGAGGGACTAGGTGGCTCAGTGGCTAAGACACTGAGCTTGTCGATCAAGAAAGGTCGGCAGTTTGGAGGTTTGAATCCCTAGTACAGGTCTCCTGCATGAGCAGAGGGTTGGACTACATGGTCTCCAAGGTCCCTTCCAGGGTCCCTGTTACTGTCATTACTGTCAGTCTTCCGGTATTTGAGAGGCTGCCCCAAAGAAGAAAGGGTCAAATTGTTCTCCAAAGGCAGGACAAGAAATAATGGATGGAAACTAATCAAGGAGGAGAAGCAACTTGGAATTAAGGAGAAACTTCCTGATAGTGAGGACAATTAACCGGTGGAACAGCCTGCCACCAGAAGCTTCATCACTGGAGGTTTTTAAGAAGAGGCTGGACAGCCCCCTGTCTGACATGCTTGAGCAGGGGCAGTGGTGGGCTTCAGCCAGTTTGCACCTATTCGGGAGAACCGGTTGTTAGAAGAAATCTGTTTTTTTTCTCCCCACTTTACAGGGCTAATCCTGTAAGGAAGGCAGGAATGAAACATTCTGGTGTTGTCTCTAGCCTAATCTTTATTGCCCTGCTTACAGAAACTGCCTCTCTGCTTAACCCTTATTACATTGTAACAGCTAAGGCGCTTCGTCCATAGACGTGGGTGATGTTGAATTGGCCACTCCCACACGGTCACATGACCACTAAGCCACGCCTACCCAGCTGGTCATTAGGGCAGAGAACCGGTTGTTAAATTATTTGAATCCCACCACTGAGCAGGGGGATGGACTAGAAGACCTCCAAGGTCCCTTCCGGCTCTATTCTGATTCTGATTCACAATGTTTAGAGATCATAAGGAGGCAGAAGGGAGTTCGTAAACCTTCCACAGTCACTTAGGTGAGATGGGTGGCAGAGGGATCTAAAGAAAGTGGCATTATTTGGGCAGGGAGGCCATCGTGAACTGTTTCTTCTGCTTCCTTCCTTCCTTCCTTCCAGGAAATCCTTCGACGCCTGGATTACTCACACCGTTCGCTCGCCCAGTTCCCCAAAAGTGCCTCTCTGTGCATCGACCCAGGTAAGAAAACGGGGTTCAGACGTGGGGAGCAAGCTGCTGGGGGAGGGGGATGCAGAGGGGAGGGAGTTGGAACCCCCAGGCTGATGTGGAGGTGGGGGGGGTTGAGACCCACCCCCAAGGCCTCACAAGAGGATGATGATGTGTAAGTTTGGTTTTTAATGAACATTCAGCTTTTCCGATCTCTTGTACCCTTGTTTGGTTTTTTGGCTTATTAATGGGATTAGGGAGGAATTTGTGCCTCTGACAGCAGCAGTTTTCTTGAACAGATAAAAAAAAAACCATTTCTCTCTCTTTCTTATCTATCTATCTATCTATCTATCTATCTATCTATCCATCCATCCATCCATCATCCATCATCTATGTGTGTATGTATGTACGTATGTATGTATGTATGTATGTATCTATCTATCTATCTATCTATCTATCTATCTATCTATCTATCTAACTATCTATCTATCTATCTATCTTATCTATCTTCCATACATCCATCCATCATCTATGTATGTATCTATGTATCTATGTATCTATGTATCTATCTATCTATCTATCTATCTATCTATCTATCTATCTATCTATTATCTATCTATCTATCTATCTATCTATCTATCTATCTATCTATCATCTATCTATCTTCCATCCATCCATCCATCCATCCATCATCTATGTATGTATGTATGTATGTATGTATGTATGTATGTATGTATGTATCTATCTATCTATCTATCTAACTATCTATCTATCTATCTATCTTATCTATCTTCCATACATCCATCCATCATCTATGTATGTATCTATGTATCTATGTATCTATGTATCTATGTATCTAATCTATCTATCTATCTATCTATCTATCTATCTATCTATCTATCTATCATCTATCTATCTTCCATCCATCCATCCATCCATCCATCATCTATGTATGTATGTATGTATGTATGTATGTATGTATGTATGTATGTATCTATCTATCTATCTATCTATCTATCTATCTATCTATCTATCTCTCTCTCCATCCATCCATCATCTCTCTCTCCATCCATCCATTCACCCATCCTTCCATCCACCCATCCTCCATCATCTATCTATCTATCTATCTATCTATCTATCATCTCTCCCTCCCTCCCTCCGACCGTCTCTCTCTCTCTCTCTCTCTCTCTCATCTCTCTCTCCATCCATCCATCCATCCATCCATCCATCCATCCATCCATCCATCCATCTATCATCCCTCCCTCCATCATCTAAAAGTCAGGCAGCCTGCAGGTGATCGTGATATTAAAGAGGGCACCAGGTCGGGGAAGGCCGTGGGGCCGGGTGGCAAATCCCATCCCTCTCTCTTCCCTTCCTCAACAGATGTGGAGGGCCCTGACCTCCGAGAAGGAACAATTGGCATTCCGAATTAAGACAAAATCACGGAAGGAGCTAATTCAAACAAGCAGGGACAGAGGAATTTCATTTATGCCTCAAAGAGGAACCCAGGCAGAGCTGCCAGGACATTGTTCGGGGAAACGTGTGTGGGTGTGTGTGGAGATGGACGACCAGCAGGCAATTGCTGTGGGCTTAAAATATCTCGGGGGTGGGGGGGAAATGGGGATGGGTTTCAAAATTACAAAAAGGAGCCTTTTGCAGCCATCATGGTCTAAAGGACCTTATCCCGGGGTGAAATGCTACCGGTTCGCTCCGGTTCGAGCAAACCTGTAGTGATAAAAACTACCAGTTCGGGCGAACCGGTAGTAAAAAAAAAATGCTTTAAAAAGTAAAAAAAAAAAAAAAAGAGGTTCCGCCGATCACAATCGTGCAATTGTCGGAACCTTTTTTTTACTTTTCAAAAGCATATTTTTCTACCTATTCGCCCGAACCGGTAGTAAAAAAATGCTTTAAAAAAGTAAAAGAAAAAGATTCTGATGATCGCGCGGCACAACTAATCGACAAAAAAAAAAAAGGTTCCGATGATCACAGCTGTGCTGCGCAATCGTCATAACCGTTTTTTTTTACTTTTCTTAAAGCATTTTTTTCCTAGGTAGTAAAAAATGCTTAAAAAAGTAAAAAAAAAAAAGTTGGCCACACCCACCCAGTCACATGACGCCTCCAACCAAGCCACGCCCACCCAGCTATGCCCACAGAACCGGTAGCAAAAAATTTTGCATTTCACCACTGCCTTATCCCTTATGATGGACGTGTGATGAAGGGAAGAAATATTGGAGTAGGATCAGAAGCGGGTTTCACAGAATTTTACCACATTACGAAAAAGATGTTGAGACTTTGGAAAAAAGTGCAGAGAAGGGCAATGAAGTTGATCAAAGGCCTGGAGACCTAAAACATATGAAGGACGGTTGCAGGGTTTGGGTTTGACTAGTCTAGAGAAAAGAAGAATTGAGGGTGGGTGGGCACGTGATATGTGTATTCCAGTATTTGAGGGGCTGCCCCAAAGAAAACGGGATCCACCTACTCTCCAAAGGACCAAATGGCAGGAAAAGAAATAATGGATGGAAACTAATGAAGGAGGAGAAGCAACTTGGAATTAAGGAGAAACTTCCTAAGAGTGAGGACAATTAACCAGTGGAACAGCTTGCCACTAGAAATTGTAGACACTCCATCACTGGAGGATTTTAATAGAATAGAATAGAATAGAATAGAATAGAATAGAATAGAATAGAAGAGAAGAGAAGAGAAGAGAAGAGAAGAGAAGAGAAGAGAAGAGAAGAGAATTCTTTATTGGTCAAGTGTGTTTGGACACCCAAGGAATTTGTCTTTGGTGCATACGCTCTCAGTGTACATAAACAGTTGTCAAGATTCACAAGGCACTGGGACAGCCACCTGTCTGAAATGAGACAGGTTCTCCTCCTTGAGCAGGGGGCTGGACTAGAAGACCTCCAAGGTCCCTTCCAGCTCTATTCTATTCTAAATTCCAAGTCTCCTCCGGCCCAGATATCAGGCGATGCACTGCCACGGCTGGACTGAGCTGGAGAAGGGGCTTTTGGTGGAAAACATCTGGAAGCAGCCCTTCCTCATTTGTTCAGCAGATGTTTGAAACCTTCACGGATCTTGTTTGCTTTGCCTCTTTATTGCTGTGAAACCAGCCGTCTGTGGAGCAGGCCGGGGTGCGATTGGTGCTTGGGGGTGCTTAAAAAAAATGCCGGGGAGGGGGGACGGCTAGCAGAAGTAGGAAGAAGCAGCCAAGGGGTACGGGCTGCAAACAAATCCAGCTGCTGGGGTGGGCCACCCTTTTTTGAGAGGGGTGAGAAGTGTGTGTGGAGGTGGACTGTCGGAATGTCAGACGTAAGGACCTTTGGGGCGGTGGTGGGGGGTGTCCTCCGTCGTAACTTTGAACACCAAGCCACCTGTCGTACCTCGAGGATGACCTGCAAACATCTGGAGGCCCACAGCGTGTCAGAAAAGGGCGAGAGGTTTGCAGCTTGGTTCTCGTGGCCATGGAGCAGGAGGATGGGTCCTGGAGCAGGATGATGGGTCTTGGGATCCAAGAAGGGGGGACTGGAGTGGCTGGCAATGCTGAGCCTTGCGTAAAGATGATACTCAAAGTTGAGGATGTCTCGTGTTTGCAGAGGGCAGGAGGGGGAGTTTCGTCCTAACGTTGCAAAACGGTTCGAATGCTCGGAAAACGTTGGGGAGTTTATCCTGGAAAGGGCCTTGAGCTCCCCTTTGTGTGTGTGTGTGTGTGTGGGGGGTTCAGTTTCAGTGGTGGCTGGACCCCCACATTGCCCAGTCCCGTCACCCCCCCCTCAAATCACAACGGCCTCTCCGGCTCCAGGGAGAGGGAATCCATCCGTTCCAAGGGATTTTCTAATTTCCCACTTCTGCAAAAATGTCTGATTCAATTTGTTGGATCCGAGGTGTTTTTTTTTTTTTAAGGTTCGCAGTAAACATTGTGTGCTTTTTCTGGGCACGACACTCCGCCATCGTTTTTTTTTTTCCTTCTTCTTCTTTTCTTTGCGGCGTTCCCTTATATAGTGTGGTTTTTTGTGCATTGCTTGTCAGAAATTGGGTGCGTTGTAGCCTGTTTCTTCGCTCGGTTCCCTGCCTGATTTTCCAACGTCGGTCATTGTAGGGAAATTTTTGATGGAAGCAGCAGGAAATTAGAATATAAGCCACTTTCTGCTCGCGTCTGGGGTGGGAAAGGCCGAGCCGGAGACGTTTTAATACATTTATAAAAGGCATTTCATTCCCCACCTTTAAGTCACCGGGCAGGAAAAGTCCATCAGGAGAGCGATGGCTTAATCCGAGGGGATGGGATCTGGCCCGGGTCTGACTCTGGGGGCTTAAGGGTCCCTTGACATGTCTCTTACTCCCTTCCACAAGCTTAAGCCCCCAGTAATTAATTAATTAATTAATTAATTAATTAATTAATTAATTCCTTCCTTCCGTCCCTCCCCCATTCTCTTTCTCCTTCTTTCCTTCCTTCCTTCCCTCCCTCCCTCCTCCATTCTCTTTTTCCTTCCTTCCTTCCTTCCTTCCTTCCTTCCTTCCTTCCTTCCTTCCTTCCTTCCTTCCTTCCCTCCCTCCCTCCCCCATTCTCTTTCTCCTTCCTTCCTCCCATCCTCCCTCTTTCCCTCTCTTCTCTCTCTCCCTCCTCCCTCCCTCACCTCCTCCCTCCCTCCCATTCTCTCGCTCTCTCCTCCCTCCCTTCCTCCCTCCCTCTCTCCCCTCTTCCCTCCCTCCCATTCTCTCGCTCTCTCTCCTTTCTCCCTCCCATCCTCCCTCTCTCCCTCTCTTCTCTCATTTCCTTCCTTCCTTCCTTCCTCCCTCCCTCCCCAAACCACAACAAAGGCCTCTTTGCCACATAACATGGGTGATATGGCCAATTTCGACATATAGTCCTTGACTTACAACTGTCATGGAGCCTGTTCACCATGATGGTTCATAGCAATTGTAAAGCAGGTTACCATGTGACTGATTGTACAACGTTTTTTGCATATTGCCATGGTCATTAAGTGAATCTCTGGTCATTAAGTGAATCTCTGGTCATTAAGTGAATCGCTGGTCAT